GGGGACCTTGTTTTTGAAATGGGTCATGTTTTCTTTTTCTGTTTTTTCCATTTAGCATAGGAATGATGGCCTCTACCTGCCTCATCTGTCTTATTTAGTAGGATAGGTTTAGGATACGGGATGTAGCTACTGCTTTCTCTGGTCGTTCACATCCCCTGTCAAATCTGGGTTTGACGATCATTTGAAAGCGCTTGTGTAACTGCAGTGGAAACATGCATGTTCAGCCTGGTACTTACTTTGCTTGTGCCCCCTGTGCTGCTTATTTAGCATCAAAGTAAGGAATTCTTGGTGTAAGGATGTTCATGCCAGTTTACACGCTTTACTTTTACATGGTCCATGGACTTTCTTCAGTGTTTCTACACCCCCATTAGATCTTCGCTCACAGCCTGTAGACTGCTGCCTCTTTTCATTGCTGAGGGCAGCTTTGGCCACCCCAGGGGCTCCCTGCCATCCCTGACGTCTCTGAACACCATTTATAGCCTGCACCATGGTCTGCCCCAGGTCAGTTGGATGGGGCCTCTAATCCCGAAAGCGCTGTGCTAACAGAAGCAGCATACACTGCAAAGATATTTGTTCAGTCTCAACATAAATTTACGAAATCCCATAAGAAACCTCACAGAAATATTCTCATTTGAAGCTGGTGTCCGCTTATCGCCATGTCTCCTGCGGTGGCTGTGAGCCGTTCCTTTGTATGTACTCACTGGATTGCTACTGGTCACATTCTTCTTTAGTGAGCGCTGTGCCACTTTGGATTTGTGATGTGAATAATTAATGTTATCACCTTGCTTACTATGGGTGTGTCTCTTTATTTTTTTCCCCTCATTTTTGTTTTTCCTTTAAAACAACCGAGAGGCCAACAAGGGGAGAGAGAGAGAACGAGCTTCTGTCCACTAACTCACTTTCTAGATACCCGTATCACAACTGGGGCAGTGGTGGGCCAGAGTTGGGAGCCATAATGGAAATCCAGACCCCTCACATGGTTGAAAGGAGCCATCACCATTGGCTTTCAGGGTATAAATGAGCAGGAAGCTTGAGGCAGGAGACAGAACTGGGCATTAAATGTAGGTATCTGATGTGGGGCATAGGCGTTTTAGCCACTGGGCTAAATGGCACACTCCCTTTGTTTACATTTTTAAAGATGAGATTGTCTAAGCATTTTTCCATGTGGCAAATGGAATTCATATTTTGAACTCACTTTTGCTCTGTTGAATTTCCTGTTCTTTGACCTCAGTTCAACTGCATCTGCTCTTACCTTTTCGGTTGTCTTAAAGTTACTGGGCAGAGGACAAGCGTGGCTTTGGTTATTGAAGTCTTTCTGCTGTTGCCTGCAGATATTGTCCTTACAAAGGGCTGTTACAGTGAGCCACATTATACAAGACAACTGCAGTTTGGCTCTTTTGAGCATGCCTCATCAGCAGCTTCGGAGTTTGCATTTAAAAGCTTACACACAGGGGGCTGAATTTGGCACAGTGATTAAAACACTCTTGGGATATACACACTCCCTATTAGAATGCTTGGGTTTGAGTCATAACTTGGCTGCCTCCCAGTACGTCCCTGGCAGGCAGGCAGCAGGTGATGGCTCAAGTACTTGGTGTCTTTTCACCCTTGTGGGAGACCTAGAATGAGTTTGAGACTGGCAGTCTCAGCTTGGCACAGCCTGGCTGTTGAGTGCATGTAGGAAATGACCAGCAGCAAGAGGATTTATCCCCCTCTCCGATTTCCACTTTCTCCCTCTTTAAACAAAAATAAGTTTATATGTGTGCTTAAAGCACACACTTAGGTGACATGAGGGTAGGGGGGAGGATTACAAACCTGCCATTAGCCAACTGGCCCCACATAGATGAAAAGACAGAATGGGGAGGGTTCATTTCTACTTTGGCCTTCTTTGGCAGACAGAAACCATCATGCATCTTTTGCCATGTGGTCCCTTAGTTACTGTGGTCTGCCTTGGCCACTCCCAGCTGCAGCAGTCCACCCATCTTCCCTCTTGCTGTGCTTTTCCATTCCTTGATGTCTGTTGGCACCAGTTACAGATCACTCATGTTGCCAGAGCTTTTTTGTGAGTGTGTGTGTACCATTTGACTCAGTCAAGTGACACATTTTTCTCAGTAAGATTGAGCCTGCAAATCTCAGAAATCTGCTCAGAATATGGGTCAAGTGTTCTCTGTGTATATTCTCAGCCGTGCCTGAAGTTCCTTCATCAGAAAACCTGGAATGAACCCACATGGAACATGCATGCCAGCTCATTCTTGGGTACGTGTCAGTTACATAGACTGTCAGCTCTCCTAGCATGCTCATTCTTTGTATTCTGTGGGAATGGGGAAAACACAACACCTGAACATTGATATATAGGTGTCTGAAGTTCCAGTCCTTGTTAATGTTTGCTAACCATGTGACTTTGGATAAGCTATTAAAGCTTTACAAAATGGAATTGATAATAGCCTTTGTCTTAGTAATGGAATCACTTTGCAAACTTGGGCAATGAAAGAGGTTGTTACTGCTGAATCAGTCTATCACCTTGATTCTACCCAACATTAATAAATAACTTTGAGACCCAGTTCTAAGAGGTTGCTTTGCTCAGGGATGCCACACTTTTCTAGTACTGATCCTAGATATCGAAAGCCAAGTCAAGCCTGCACGGAGGCTTTTTTGTGATGGTTTTCTTCACTGGGCTGAATGTTTGCCACTATATCCCCCTACAGCAGCTTGCTTCTTTGGAAATTGATTCTTGACGTAGTCACTCCCAGTCATTGAATGTCCTGCTCAAGGGACCTCTGAGGAAGTGTAGCCATTATCCATACTCTTACTGCTGCAAAAGTGTGGCTAGTATTACTTTTTCCAGTTAGGTTCTAGTTTGATTGAGGAATATTAGCAGTTTTCTTCATCCCTTTTCCCATTGAGAGTTAAGAAAAAGAAGCAGACAAAATTGTCTGGTCTCTGATATGGTTCCTCTAATAGCAATTTCACTTTGCCAGATGAGCCCTTAGCTCTCTGCGTGTTCTGTTTTGAAAGTGTCTTCTGGTTGATGGGCTGGCCATGAGGATAGCTTTTATAGGCAGGTGGTGTGTCTGTCTCTAGGGAATGGTAATTGAGAGGGGTCTGTTGCCCTGAGTCGCCATCTGAATGTACACTAAGTGATGAACCCACAGCCATTACTGCTGCCTTCCAGGAATCTTTGATAAATGAATGAGTGGACTTGTTCAGCTCTTGCCGACTTACAGAAAGCTCTGTTGCATGCTGCATTTGTTCACTCATTTGTTATTTACTTCTGCTGGGGCTGGGGATCGATTTCTTAATGCATGGATCTCTCTGCTATGAATTTCAATCCATGTAAAAGAGAAGGAATTGCCTCTTGTTTTTTTTTTAAAGATTTATTTTTATTATTTTTTTTATTGGAAAGGCGGATATACAGAGAGGAGAGACAGAGAGGAAGATCCACCGTCCGATGATCCATTCCCCAAGTGAGCGCAACGGGCCATACTATGCTGAGGAGCCTCTTCCGGGTCTCCCACGCGGGCGCAGGCGGCTTTGGCCCGTCCTCGACTGCTTTCCCAGGCCACAGGCAGGGAGCTGGAAGGGAAGCGGGGCTGCCGGGATTAGAACCGGCGCCCATATGGGATCCCGGGCGTGCAAGGCGAGGACCTTTAACCACTTGCGCCACCGTGCCGGGCCCAATTGCCTCTTGTTAATTCTGTTTTCCATGCCAGAAATCTTTTTAAGGAACACCCGTTGGGTCCCCCCGTAGGTGACAGGATCCCTAGCATTTGGGCCATTGTTTGGTGCTCTCTGAGGAGCGTCAGCAGGGAACTGAGTTAGATGTAGACTAGCCAGGACTCAGCCCTCGAGCCAGTGTGCAGTGCCAGCATCACAGGTGGGGCCTAATGCACTATACCAGGATGCTGGCCCCCAAGACCTTTGTGTAACCCCTCGTTTCACTGTCACCTAAACTTGAGATGTTTGTCACTGACCCTACCTGTATCCCAAATGAATTAAAAGTCTTCCTTTTTTCTCTCCCCCTTTTTGTTGTCATTATTTTGCATGATAAAGTTTAGCAGATGTAGGGATTGCCAGCGCCTCCCCTTCCCTTTCCTCTCCCCATTTTTCCCTTCTACCGTTTCCTCCCTTATAATTCTAGTATCATGCTTTAGTTATAATTACATTTTAAAGCTCTGCTATTCAAGTTTATCATGGCATTGTAGCATGGGGGAAGGTATAAAATCTAGTAATATACTGTCCGTATATATAAATATAGGTATATATATATTGAGAAAGAAATTTTTTTTATTAGAAAGCTTTACAGAGAGGAGGAAAGACAGGAACATCTTCCATCCACTTGTCTCCCTAAGTGACCACAATGGCCGGAACTGAGCAAAAGCCAGGAGGAGCCAGGAGCTGTTTCCAGGTCTCCCACAGGGTACAGGGTCCCAAGGCTTTGGTCCGTCCTCCTCTGCTTTCCCAGGCCACAAGCAGGGAGCTGGATGGAAAGCAGGGCCACCAGGACACAAACCAGGGTCAGGCAAGGTGTATTTAACTGTTGGGGAGTCCTCCCTGTATTCATGGATAGAGATGTGTGCTGCAAGGTATTTTCACTTCCCACTATGCTAGTAAGAAAAAAATAAAACTAGGTTAAGGTTATGTAGCTACAAAATATAACACAACTAGAATCTGTGCTCATTAGGTGCCAGTAAACTGTGTATAGTCCAAGTTACGTTAGTGAGCTGTGAGGAATAGAGATGTTCCGCCTTCATTTTTAACTGTAAGTGTAAGAAGAATCCTAGCGGATAGGCTAAGGACGAGGCGGACACTGCACTGACGGCATGGAGGAGGACTTTACAAAGGCCGAGGGGGTCACTCAGTGTGCATCTGCTCTGTGTTGTGCAGAGAAACAAGTACACTCTCCGGAGAAAATGGACTCCTGCTGAGCAGTCAAGCTTGAGTGGAACACCTTAGAAGAGAGACAGAAGTTGGCATACTAAAAGGTCAGTACCTTCTGTGAGATTCACAGGAGGTTCAGCACCAGCTCTGTTTGCCATTTAGTACTGAAGGTAGATGGTCCAATTTAGACCAGAAACCATGGCATCGGATTCTGCAGCCAAGGTTTTTATCAACTAACTGTGATCTTGCTACCAGCCTCCCAATACTGCCATTTCTTCAAAACGACCCTCCAGCATACAGTGTAAGTGAACAGATACCAGCAAGGCCCAGCTGATCTCCTTGGTGGCATGCTTGTCATTCCTTCCATTCTCATGGTTATCCATAATCTATTGTCTTACCATAGTCTGAAGGCATGCTGCCATGCTGTCTTCCCGAAGGGGAACAGTACAAGCAGGGAGATGCGCATATATACAAAAATAATGAAACAAGTCATGTGTTTACTTAAGATATTTTGATTTCTAAAATTTTATCCCCTAAAGGAATTCTGCAATTTTTCCCCCTTTTTATGTATCAGAAACTGGAGAACAAAAAATTCTCCCAGAATCTCAGGGCTAGTTAGTGGCTGAACCAATATTGAACCTGGTCTCTTTACTCCAAGACCCTATCTCAGTGTGGCTCCTTCACCCCTTCATCCTACAGAGGGTATATGGACGGCTCTGATTTTGAGTCAGTGTTGAGAGGAGCAGGTGAACTTTGTTATGAGAACAGACAGGATAAGAGTGGGGTCCTCAACCCTAGCTACACAGCAATCATCCCAGGAGACCTGCTAAGCACCACCTAGGTCCTGCCACATACTGGTGGAGATTTCTTCAGTTTCCTGCTGCAGGTTTACCCTGCTCTGTGTGTGTGCCACTTTGAGGCAGGGCGTTACAGGCCAGGTCATCTTTAAGGAAGGTCTGTGCACCACCTCCATCAGGATACCCTGGTGTTGGAGGCAAAGCGGAGTGAGATCCCTACTTCTTCCTGGAAACAACCGCCTGGCATAGGAAACTGAACTTCTGTGTTGGTAACAAGTTGCCAAAGTAATTCTGATGCCAAACCAATGTTTGGGACCTTATTTGTTTTTCTTCCCAGCAGTTCCTTGCTGACCCTCCTACCGCTTACCGGGAGGCAAGACTTGTTCGGGGGCAGGGGAGAGGGACTCTGGGATTTGAGGTATCTTTGGATTGCTTTTCTCCTATACAAAGGAACCATTTAGAGGGTGGGCTTATTTTTAATTTTGAAGTGATGAGCATTGGTTATAACTTTTAAACCAGTCTTGTTTCTCTATTTATTCGTTGGTAAATGAATGGTAGGATTTTGTCTTTTTTAGTTTTTCTTAGCTTAATTCGCAAAGTTACTCTTTGAACCAACACTGAAAATACGAACGTGACTTTTGCTGGGCATCGTACTGAACTCAGCATGACAGAAACACTTTTCCTGTTTTTCTGACCTACATGCAGACATCCAACAAAACTGTAATACTGGAAAAAATACTTTTGAGTTATTTGTAATGTTCTAAAGAAAAGAGAGAAAGGGACAATTTTCCTTCTAAGTTTTGCAACACTTCTAAAATGTCTTCTCTATGGTATTTTTTCTTTCTGCCCCTTACATATTTTATTGTGCTTAAAAAAAAACAAAAATTCTTACTGGGTATAGTAATTTGCCACAGTTTAAAAAAATGTAAATGAACAGAGGCATTGCATTCCACAGAAATGCATGTGTGTATTTGGATTTTTGGAATGCTGGGGACTGAAGGAAAATTGAACAAGCCTAGATACACAAGTGGAAGAGGAACATCTGAAATCACAGATGATTTTTACCTAGTTACTTAATTTCAGTCTTTCTTTGCAGCAAAGCAGAGATCTAGCTTTCTTACTTCCAGGGAAGGCTGTTGAGAAGCTGGAGGGGAAGGAGGGAGGAGGGTCTGAGCTGGAGGAGCATTGTTGGAATGGGAACCACTGTCTGGAAGCGACTCAGGTTCTGGCCCTGTTGCAGCCTGAATCCACCTGGGGGGCTTTTGTTTGCTGAGGTAAATCTAGTCATTGTGTACGTCTAAGTGGGCGAAGAAACTGTCCCCAACCATTCAAGCATCTATTTATCTACCAAAGAACTCATGCAAACAAAATCAAAGAGGAAATAAATAAAAATAAATTTAGGCTCTCTCAGTATCAACTTACTGAAATCATTAAGTGAATTAATTTTTGCATTCCCTTCTTTCAGTAAATACATGCAGTTTTTATTCTGAAAAGATTTTCTGCATTGTATAATTAATAAAATGAAAAAAAAAAGCCCTTAAAGTGGGACATCATATTATTTTTAAAGAAGACACTGGAGATGGTAAATTAAATTTAGTAATTCCAGAGTCGAGCTGCCTATGTGAAAATATGTGGATTCACTGAGGGTCATTTTCTGATTAAATGAAATCTTAGTTATCAAAGCCAATTTAATTAGCCAAACAAAAAAATTTTTTTTAAAGTTGTGACATCATAATCCTAAGAAAAGCAAAAAGAGAAAAAAAGAAGTGTGTATATGTGGATTGTTAATGTTGGAAGCTAATTGTGAAGTTAAATTAATAACCCAAACATCAGCCTGTACAAATGGGAAAAGGATTGATTTTGTATCCCTTCCTCTGCTTAAATTAATGTTATTTACTGAAATTAGATGAGACATAAAACAGTTTTTAGAAATTATCTACTGGTTCTCTCCCCAGATGCCCACAGTGACTGAGATGTGGTTGGGCTGAAGCTGGGAGTGCAGTTCTGGTCCCCTACAAGGGTGGCAAGAATTCGGTCAACTGAGACATCCCTGCTGTTTCCTTGGGTCTGCATTAGCAAGGAGCTGGAGTCAGGGCCAGAAGGCATGAAATGTGTGTTGACTTCGAGGCTAAATGCCCGCTCCATGACAGAACTTAAGCTGATGTTATGTAGAAGCTGATGTGTGGATAATTGGACAGCAACAGGTGCTAAGGGATCACCTTTTCAGATAAGCCTAAGGTGCTTGTCGCTGTCATTCTAAGTCCATGTGATCTTAGGAGCAGCCGCATAGGTGGGGGATGAGGAGGAAGAGACATACCAGTATGAGCAGCCATGTAGCAGGTTCTGGTCAGCAGGGCCTATCTGGTGGGCAGGACAAAGCAATTCTTGCTTAAGGACTGTGTGATCCTTAATCTTCTCAAAATGTGTGTGGATACTTGGGGCAGAAGTGTGACTTATTTGACCACGTGTATCTTATACTATGGATTAAAGGAGTCCTTGGGTATTGGTCATAGGAAAGACTTGTATTTTGAAAGGGGGAACTTAGTATTAATTACTAGGGAAAATTAATTTGAGCAGGCTCAAGAAGTGGCTTTTAAAGATAAAGGGGAACTGTGGAGAAAAGTGTTTTATCTCTGGTCTGAGGATTTATCTTTCACCCCATAAACTTCTATTTCCCATACTGTGTTTTGGAAAGGTTTATTCGGTGTTGTGTTTCTTAAATTTAGGACCAAGATCTGACCTTGTTGGTTTATTTTTTGTGTCCTTATGTATGACATTTTATGTGAAAGGACTATATTATTAATAAAAAATCATAAATATTTATATACGTAGATGTAGATTTGCAAATAAAAAATCATAAAAGCTCTGAATATGTAAAACATGAGTCTTGTCACCAATTATCCAATTGATCTTTTAAATAAAGGAAGTGATTTTTTATGTTTTTATATAAACTGTTGATTGCTTGTTAAGTTTCACAAAATTTGACTGAAAGAATATTAAAATCAAGAACCATTAAAACTTCAAGGACTGCAGAAATAATTCTAGTCAAACTGCAAGGGACAGTGAATCACTGTGTGGTTTTGATAGGGAGAGTGATTTAACATAGGCAGTTTCTGTTAAGTCTTTGATAACCTTTTATGCTTCACAGTAATGCCTCAAAATACTGTAATTCTTGAAATGTAATGCTTGGAACTGCAGAAAGGCCACTTACTACTCTAGGTAAGACAACAGTGAAAAGGACTTCTAACAGTTTGGAGGCCTGTCTTAAACCAGGTGTATCTGTGTGTGCCTTTCCACTTTCCCAGTATAGCTGATAAGGGGACCCTGAGGCTACCACCTCTCTCTAGTTAGGATGTGCAGGCCTTGAAGAAATAGTCACACTGCTATCCAACCCCCAGTGTACTAGGCTGAGATACAAAGGGGAGACCTCAAAAGGACTTTGGGAGTAACCCTGTGTTACTCTAGTGGCAGTTCAGCCAGTTGACATGTAGTTTTAATATTCCTGTTTCTGGCCTACTGTGGGCCCTCTAAGAATGTGTAAACTGCCATTGGAACTGTTATAACCTGTATTTCCAGGATATCCTGTTAACTTTTTTTTTTTTGTCTGTTTCCTTGGAGTTAAGAGGTACTCTCGGGTCATGCAGTGGTTATTTTATTGGGAAACTCTATCACAGAAATCTGCACTGGCATTCCATCTTGGGCTGTGTGAGTAATTCTGAAAACCTTGGATTTTACTTTCAAATTCACGCTCAGCTAGACCAGACTCTTTTTTCCTAAGTCTGAAGAATGTGTCCCACACAAAAGGCCAGTTTCAATGGGCCTTAATTCTCCCTCTGTGGCATTCCTTTAGTTCTGTGTGTTTGAAATTCAAGGCCTGTTGTAGTTTCCAGCACACTTTTTTAAAAAGTCTGGAACAGAAATGCATTATTGGACTGATAATGCCTTATGGAGGCCAATAATGGATTTATGTAGCAGCCACAGTACTGTTTTTGTTAGTGGCTTAAGTGCCGTTGACTGTTCCTTCTCCACCTCTCTCCTCCTCCCTCAGATTTCTTGAATCATGTTAAGTAACTTGATATTGCTCTTCTGCAGAATGTAAGCTAAGATTGGCAAGATTGTTGAGGGAGTGCTGTGGGGAAAGAATTTAGTTTAACAAACAGTAGTATAATTTTGTGGAGACTGCAAATGATTCTGGGACTGGAGATTTATCAAGAGACCTGAATGCCTTTTTTATTTTTTCAAAATATAGCGTACCATACACACATGAATTTTTTAAATACTTGGAGATAAAAGATCACTCCTACTCTGACACAGATATAACACAATCACTTCGTTTTTGCTTTTCAGTCTTTTACATACATTGTTTCAAACAATTACCCGTTCTTAAATACACACCATGTTGAATTTGCTTTTTCCATGTAGGCATTGCTCTATAGTTTTTGCATTCTTATTATTTTCATGGCTACATAATTTTAATGGCCACATAATAATATTGCAGAGATGTTGCATAATTTATGGAATCATTTTTATGCTATTGGGTCTCCAGAGTGGCTGCAGTACTACCATTAGCCGTATAATCCACTTTGAGTAACGAGCCTCTCCCGCCTGTTGAGCAGCTTCTGTAGGATGCATTTCCAAGGGTGAGGTGCTGCTCAGAGAAACGGCATTCTGTCTCTGTGACTTGGACTGCCCTGTTGCTCTGTCCACATGTTTGTGGCAAAAATCTCGCTCCTAAGAATTGTAGTGTTAGAGAAGACTGCTCTTCAGCTGCCCTGGCCAGTGCTCTGCTGGTGGCTGCCCTGGTCACTCGAGAACGAGCTTCAGTTAACCTCCCCTGGAAAAGTTGTGTCAGTCATAGCAACTGAGCTCACTGCTCCTAGCAAGGGCATCTAGTCTACTCAATGGGCAACAGTGTTCTGCCCTTCCTTGTCTCATTCTATTTTTTTTTTAAAGATTTGTTTTATTTAGTTGAAAAGCTGAGTTAGAGAAACAGAGAAATCTTCACCTGCTGATGCACTCCCCAAATTGCTACAGTGCCTGGGGCTAGGCCAGGCCAAAGCCAAGGACCAAGAATAATCTGCAGATCTCCCACATGGAGAGATCTAACAGTCTAATACATGGGGAACCGTATTTCAGCCATATTCTGCTGCTTTCCCAGCGTATTAACAGGGAGCTGGATCAGAGGTGGCAGCTAAGACCCAAATTGGTACTTGCATGGAATACTGATACCACAGGGGTTAGCCACTATGCCACAGCACTAACCTACTTCACTGCTTTTCTAATGATGTCACAAGAGTATTCCTTCAATGTGTCACTTATTAGTTGTAGATTAGATTTTAATTGAGTCAGTGGGGATTCTGCTGTAATGGCAAAATGGTTAAAACCCCAAGTAAACTCATTGAATTCCCTCCTCTTAACTTCCAGTTCCTTCACTTCCTGGCAGACGGGTTTAGCATTCCTCATCTGTGAAATCGCCACCAGAGCCGGATGGCTGCCAGCTCTTAGAGTTTGGAAGGAGCTCCTGCGATCCTTCATCCAGGGTACTTAGTATAGTGTTCATGTGACATCCTGGCATGCCTCTGAAGCCCCCCTTGCTTGAGGTGCACAAAGTGGAGTGGTTGCTCTTCATACTCCTCCCTCGTTGATCTTGAGTAGTCCTTGGACCTGGTGTGAAGCTCAGCTGTGGATTTCAGTTTAACAGCAGATTCCACTCTGCCCTGACTCCCCTTAAGCTTCCTGAACTGGAGTGATTCCATTGTGTCCTCATGGTGACCAGTGTTTCCCAGTAGCCATGGGTTGAATTTCCCATCCTCTTCTGTATCTTATCTCCAGTTATCCTACTTTTGCCTTTTCTCTGCTATAATTTGGGTAATTTTAACACATACAGCTTCCAGTCTGCCAATTCTCTAATCAGTTGAGGTGAACTCTTTAATATTGTATCACATTTGTTTATATTATATTCATTTTAGATCAGTTTCTAAATTGTATAATTTCTGTAATTAAATTAGCTGAAATTATTGTGGAAATTCTTTTATCTATATTGTTGATGATTCTCAAAACTTTTTTTTCCAGTGGTTTTGTATTTTTGGAAGGTGCTGTCATTACCAGTAGAGCTGTCTTTAATCCCTGTGGGACATTTGTTTGGTCTGATTCCAGTCACAGTCCTCCAGAATAGTTTTGTGTTTGATTCTCTTTGGGTGATTCTAATTCCTAAATATTTTTGCCTTATTTAATTTTGAAGCATTTTAGGAAAAAAAAAAACTGATGCTGAAAAAATAAGTGTTATCTACACCCTATTATTTAAAGCTGTCTCTGATGTGGTGTTGCTTACCCCTTGAATATTTGGTTCACTCTTTGACTTAAGAGCCTTTAAAATATGCAGATGGAGTCACTTCCAGTGATCATGTGTTCTCAAGGAGTCCTCATCACCAGGCTCCTCCGAGAACGGCTAGCTTTCTTGTATCTTTCTGTACCTTGATGAGTGGCATTTTCTTTTTCCGAGTTCATGCTTCTATTGAGATGTAGTCCATTAAGAATTTTAGTTTTGAGAGGGATCTAAGTTCTAATACCCCAGTGCAAGTGTGCTGGGACCCACATTCCCTTAGGCCACCAACAAGTGGCAGGACCGCTCGGGCCTGTGGCACCATCAACTCCCATGCTACCTCCCTGGTCTTGGCTCCGTACTCCTTTCTTGCTAGTTGAGTGTGTTAGCATCCTGTGCAGTAATGTTGGAAGTTCTTTATTTCTTTAAGTAAGAAAGCGCTGCCTCCCAAATCCTGGTTGCTTATTTGACCACTTGCTTCTGGAATCATTTATGAGCACTCTTCAGCTGCTCAGAACCATGAAGAAAAGACTTGGCCTGTGTTCTGCTCTGAAGCGACTGGTGGTTTTTCAGTTGCCGTGAGACAAGGGCTAGATACTTGGCTTGGTTCACAATAATCTTTGGAGAATCTCCTCTTGTCTTGTTGTTTTGTTTTTCTTAAAAAATAAACCATGCCCAGTGTGCATCAGAGATTGTAGATCCACACGGCTTCTGCTTTCCTCCTTTGCCCATGCTTGTGCTCATTTCCTTTCCTGTGGTGCTGGGAGGACAGTTATTTTCCAGAGGAGACTGTTGTCTCATGAAGTGCTGGTGGGCGGTGGTGTATGTGGTGCATAAGCGCCGTCCCTCCTTTGTCTCTGAAGGCTTTATGCTTTCTCATGTTTGCATTCACAGTGGCAGAGGGTGGACAGACACATTGCTTAGCACTTACTCAGTGCCTAATAAATGCCTGATGTGCTTCAAAACAAAGAAATATTGTGTGTGTTTGTGAATATATTAATAATAAATTATGAATATACTTAAGTTTTTTTAAGCATTGTTTGCTCATTTTTAAGGGGAGAAACTGGGTAGGTGACAAAGTGAGGTCAGGGAACGACAGCTCGTACTGCCCGAGTCAGCTGCCAGATGCAGTGGTGCCTTTGCTGTCTGAGGAGTAGGAGAGCTGGGCCAGCCCAGAGTCCTGTTCGTCTGGACTGACTGATGACTTGGCATCATATATAGGCCCTGGCAGCATCATCCTCTGGATGAATCATAGCAGGCAGTGAGTAGCAAGACAAGGCACCAGTGCTTTTGTCTTTGCTTTCCTTCCTCATGACTCAAGGCACTCAGAGGTTGAATCTTGCCATTTGCTTAGCATTCCTGATTTGATGTGCCTGAAGGCTAAGTCCCCCATGAACTTCGTCCAGGAGGTGGCAGAGAGATGGATTCCAGCCACCTCCTGGTGATGTCTGTCCTCTGTTTCATTCTGTTCATTCACACTGTTGTTGCCTCATGCCATTGCCTGTGCTTTGGATCTCATTTACTGCTGAGCCATCATAATTTGTGTATCAGTAGGATTTTCCATGACCATGATGGGATCTTTTCTGTTTTTAGTTCAAATTTCTAAAAGGATGGGATCTGATTGACCCAGCTCATCTTTCTTTTCTCCAGCTTTATCCTGGGTTGCTCAGCTGTAGTTGGGTCAAGCTATTGGTCAAATAAGTTATTGGTAGCTGAGAAGTTTAACCCTTTGCCATAAAACTTGGGGATGTCTTCCCTCATTCTTTAGTTACAGCGCTTTGAAGGTGGATTTTATGATTAATACATAATAACACTCTGAACCAAGTAAATAGAAGCTCTTCATCATAGTGGTTAAGTGGTTATATAAGTGTTTGGGGAGATCTTTTTCTCTGTTTCCATGTTAAACAAAAGCAAAAATATTCTCAGTGCAAGGGGCTAAGAGTTACTTTTGATTTGAGGAGCTGTTTGTCCTCAATTACTGAGGCAAAACAAAACTTTGGTTGGAATGTAGCAATTCTAGTGCAATGAGTCAAGGCTTCCATTGGTTTGCATTTGGTTTGCATTTTTTGCTAGCTCGTCATTCAAGAAAATTCTGTCTTTAGGGTCATGGAAGAGGTCTCTATGTTTATTCTGTAGAAGTAAAAAATTTAAAGCATTTAATAATGCATCTGAAGATAAACTTTTATTTGAGATCTGTTTTCCTAGAAATCCTTTGGGGAATTCTCAATATGGCCTCTTCTGTAAATATTTTCAAAATTTTATGATAGTCTTTATTCCAACATGGCTTTTGGAAAGTGAGGGGGTTCTTACAGTATAAATATTAGTTAAGATATTTGAGGAACTAAGAATTCCACTGACATTCAAAAGCCCCTTTCTTTGTAATTAATAAACAATTGTCTCCCATCACAAGGGTTTACTCAAAAGACAGTGAATAAACCTTCTAACTCATCTAAAGCCCCACATGCACTCATGTGCCTTTTTTTTTTCTTCAGCAGCAGTAGGAACATGAAAATAGTCTACATTTTTTCCCCTCGCATGCTGGTTGTCAGCCAGTGATAAAAGTATGCATAATTTATATCATGCATGCATACCAGTTATCTTCAATTACATTTTGTAGTAATTACAAAATTCATCTATTTCCTCTCAAACTTGTTAACCACGCTAGTTTTCATTCATTCTACGAGTTGCTGGGTGGGGTAAATTCTCAGTAGTCTTAGAAATAAAAAAAAGAGCTAAGATAGGGACCCTGAAGAATCTCCCACATTGACACTCAAACTGTGTGTGTGTGTATGTAAGAGAAAGAGAGTGAATTGTTACGATTTCATTGTCAGAGATTCTTTAGGTTGCTTATGATTGCCTCTGGTTACACCCACCTGGTTATCAGACTCTAATTTAGACAGACTGGAGTGATGTTACTTAGTTTACATATGATTTCTTCCTGCCCATCTTTCCTCATAATCAGAGCTGCCCAAGATCTCTCCAGACTTTGCAGTACCTTTTACCTCTCTTTGTAGACCTCAAGCTTGTGCCCTGGAAGTAAAATTTGGATTTGATGAGGTAGCTGAGTCACCATGTTAGATGAAAATAGCATGTAAGCAGAAAACCTGTGGAGTGTTTCCTAGAGAGTCTGTGCTGGAGACTGACACAGTGAAGCAGCACGTTTTCCCTGCAGCCCACCATTTGTTCAGTAGAGTAGCAGGTTGAAGAATGTCGTATGGACACACATGTCCATATGTATATATCTATAGCCATCCAGACTGAGATTAAACACAAGAATCACCTTCAGGGAGGTAAGACCCATCTGGTGTAAGAGGGGATACCTTAGCTGGGGCAGGACAGCAGATGCTTTCATCATCATACAGTTTCCCTGGCATGGCCTCTGCACAGTGGACTCTGTGTGGATAAAGATGCCCACACCTTCTTGCTTTCTCACTCTCATTTTGACAGGTACATGTAGCGGGATCGTTGTAGACTGTGTTCTATATGAGATTCCTCCAGAAGAGGAATGTAGCAAAGAGGCTTTGCAATTTCATCAAATACTATGATCTTGAGGGAGGAAAAAAGCAGACTTACTTGTTACTACAGTATATCTGTTACAACTTATGTTAAGTGCTTGGGAAGAGGTGCTGTGTTCGTCCTGTACTGTGTGCAACCATGGCGTAACACTGTTTGTATCATAGCACACTGGTCAGAGAGGGTCAGTGATTCAGCAGGCCTCGTGGATCCCTCAGAGGTCTGATTGAGCCAGACTTGCCCCGGACCCCAGGAATCTTCCTGAGAGAAGGGGTATCCAATTTTTTTCTTGCCAAAATTTAATATATTCCAACTATAAATTATCTCAAAATTTCCTAAAAATAATCACTTGAGAAGTTTTTTTTTATTTTAAAATAATCCTGAGTATAGCTGATGGCTAAGAGGTCATGAATAGCCTTCAAACTTTTTTCTTGCAGAAAATACCCAGAAACATAAAATTGTCTTGCCTTAGATTTTTTTCTTCCAAATTTTTCTTTAAATGACGGAAACTGGCAGAGATCCCCATCCGCTGGTTCACTCTCCAAATGCGCACAGCAGCTGACTCTCACAAGCTGTAGCAGGTGCTAGAACTCAGTCCACCTGGTTCCCAAGGGTGACATTTGTAGGAAGCACACATCCGGAGGAGAGCTGGAACTTGCTATGAGAAGCTCCCATCAGAAGAGGCATCTTAGCAATTTCACCAAGCAGCCAGTGTTGCTTATCTTGCCTTTTAAAGGTGCGGTTCATTGGACTAAGACCTATCTGAACTTTCGTAATTCTTTCTCAGGGAAGATGTCACAGAAATGCAACTATCCCCCTCTTCCTGTCCATTACTGTAAACTTAAAAAAACATATGGAAACAGTTCCTCTAGACTGTTGCTGAAGAACTATGCTATTGTAATAATATGGGGGGAAATGTGCAGTGGGTTTAAATTGGTAGGGTGGAAGCGGAAGTCCCTGAGCCTATATAACTGTATCATGAAAAGTGAAAGTAATAATCATAAAAAATATGCAAGTGTGTGTGACAGTGTTCCATATAGCTAATTAGGAAAATCAGTTGTGATAAGGTCATGGTGGTGGGTAAAACTAAATAGTAAAGAAGAGATTTTCTAACTGATGCTACTATGGCTTGGTATTTTTGTACAGTCTTAACGAACGAATATGCACATTTGCTGACTCCGAGTCCGGTGATGGGTCTGTTCTGTTTGGCCTGTCTGCTCTTTGGATCTGAGCTGTGCATGGAACGGCAAGCTTGAGGCAGCGGCAGAGGCCTTCTGTCCAGAGCAGTCTCAGTGTGGTCTTACAAAAGAGGCTTGACAAGGATGTAAAGGGAATTTCCAGCATTTTAGCATCCACTTTGAGGTTTTCTTTCTACTGTAGTAGCTCAAGAGAAATTACTTCAGTTACTAGCTGAAATGAAAGGGGACAAATGTAAAAAGAGTAGAAAATAGGAGGCTGTTTGAAGTTTGTTGTGCACAAATAAGGACTTTGCATGAAATTTCAAGAAAGGTTCTCTGTGATTTAGTAATCCCCAGGCACAAGCGACAAAGGCCCAGCCCATTGCAGTGAGCGAGTCATCACTTCATTTCTCTGAACTGCAGGCAGATTGTTACTGTTTTAAATCACCCCGGGTCATGAATTTGTGAACCAGGCTATAGGGGGAGATTCATCTCTTCAGAGCATTAATTTCTTACCCCTTACTTTGAAATTTTTTAATGCCATAAATGAAAGGACACATACCCTTCCTGAATTTATTTTTGGAGTTGATGAGATAGGGGGCTTGAGGGGAGTCTGTTTACCGCTTACCTCAAAATTAAGAGAAAGTAAGAGAAATATGGGAGTTGAAGCAAGGACATTTCTTGGTAATTTGGAGGAAGAAATCAAGTCTGTCAGCATTCACATATATTATGTATCTGCTATAAGAGTGCAAAACATTGCTTTTAGCATATGAAACTGTGGGAGTTTGCGGGGGAATCCCAGCCTAAACAAAAATGTACCACATAATTCAAAATTCAAAATAAAAATATTTTAAAAAGAAAAAGAAACAGTAGATGGAAGATCTTTCTATAAATCTTCCTTCCCTATAAAAATATATTTTTTAAATAAAAAAAAGAATATGAAATGGTGAGAGTCCTGTGGTAACCCGGCCTGAGAATTCCTGAGCGCTGCTTACCAACTGTGACGCGAGCAGTTGGTGTGTTCCCGGTGCTCTCGGTCACTATATAAAGCAGGAGGACGGAGATCCTGAAGCCCCAGGTAGTAGGAGACACAGCTGGACATGGGGCGGAACTTGGTCCACACCAGGTGAGCCCTGGTGCCTGTTTCCACAGCACTCACACTGGAAAGCAGTGGATGATAAAATCCAGTTCCTGCACTTGTCCATGGGACTTGTGCGAGGTGGTAAAGGAGGCGAGTACGGGTCGAGGTAGTCTGTGACAGCTTCACAGCCAGTACATCTGTATAACTGTGTCTGAAAGAGGCCAGTGGAGCGTGGCCGGCCATATTACCAAGTATGCCGGGATGAAGGATGTGAAAAGGGTGGGCATTTGGAAAACGGTGCTGAATCACAGCCTTTCGTGGAGGAGGTAGACTCCTCAGGCAGCTCAGATCTTACCTTAACCTCTGCCTTCACGGAGCTGCAGCCCAAAGAGCGTATGCCTGGAGAGCCTGTAGCAACTGAAGGAACTGACACAGTGTCTGTTGTCTAGGCTGCCTGGATTCTTATTACAGGGAGAAGATGACTTCAGAGTTCAGATTAGCCAGTATATTTTACAGGAAAGGCTCAACTTAGGATTCCAGAATTTTTATTTTAATTCTTCGAAGTCTTTAATTGTTCATAAGATAACTCAAGAAATTATAAAAGATAATTTTCAGTCCCTAGAAAATACTTGACGAAGGTTTGGTTTGGGCCATGGGCACCCACTTGCATTCTCTGCTCTAGGTTTACATGAGGTGCCTTCTGTGGGGAACTGATTGGGGAGTTGGTAGGCACTTATGTAAAGGACGGGGTGGAAAGGAGAGGTGTTTGAGAACAAATAGTTGGCAAACATACTGCGTTAAAGACTTCAAATGAGAGTTAGTTCAGGGACATTTTCGCAAACTTGCTGATTATAGTTTTTTAATATCATTGCATTATTTGGGCTAGGTAGACCAGAATCGGAAAAATATAACCCAAAGGAAATAATTCTAAATATGTGAATGTCCTTAAACTTTGCACTTTATCATGTGCACTAGACAAAAGCCCGTGAGAAGGTGTTCTCGCCGTGAAGCCCTGTTCCTTATGCAAAGTCTTCCAAAGCAGTGCGTTGTTAAAACTGATGCCAAACCACGTGTGGTTTATTTTGGGTGACTGTGACTGGTTTAAAACCATTTGTCGTAGTTGGCCCTGTCTGTGGGTAGTGGGTGACTGTTTTCAGTCTTGATACGGGGTGAATGAA